CAACAGCAGATACAATGACTATTGCGGGCATGGGTGGCTTCCGCCTGTAATTCCCAAGCAACTTTGGGGAGGCCGAGGCCGGCGTGAACTCACCAAGGTCAGGGATCGACGACACCCCGGCTGACACGGTGAAACCTGTCTCTAATACTAAAAAATGAGCCGGGCATGGTGGCAGCGTGCCTGTAGTTCCCAGCTACTCCAAGAGGGTGAAGGCTGGAGAAATCGGCGCTGAACCTGGGAAGGTGGAGCCTTGCAGTGAGCTGAGCTAAGTCGTGCCATTCACCTCCAGCCTGGGTGACGAGCGCAGACTCCTGTCTTCAAAAGAAAAAAAAAAAGACTATCACACAGAGCCACAAACCACACTGTGTTCCAGGCAGCTTCTCCGCTTTTACTCTCAGGAGAAGTGGGTGCAGGTTTTGTCCCCATTTCCAAGAGGGTGAAACTGAGGTGGAAGCAGGGTTAATCTAACTTAGGCAATGCCACGACACACCAGAATCAGAGGTTGCAGGGGCAGAGTAAGGGGGCGTTGAAACACACGGACTTTTGTTTTCTAATAATACGTTACTGCTTCTCCTTTTTTTCTTTTTTTTTTTGAGACGAGTTCTGGCCATCTGTTGCCCAGGTTGGAGTGCAGTGCGGCCGGATCTCAGCTCACTGCAAGCCCCGCCTCTCCCAACACCAACACAAACAACACACACACAAAAAAACACACAAAACACCCCCCCCCCCACCCACAACTCCACCCAACCCCCCGGTTCACGCCATTCTCCTGCCTAGCTCCCGAGTAGCTGGGAAGTACAGGCGCCCCGCCACCTCGCACGCTAATTTTTTTGTATTTTAGTAGAGACGGGGTTCACCGTGTTAGCCAGGATGGTCTTGATTCCTTGACCTCATGCATCTGCCCGGTCTCGCCTCCCAAAGTGCCTGGGATTACAGGCTTGAGCCACCCGCGCCCGGCCATTTCCTTTTTTTTTTTTTTTTTTTTTTTCCCAAGACAGTTTCTTCTCTGTCATCCAGCGCCTGAAGTCCACATGCACTATCTTCAGCTCATCTGCAAAACCTGCCACCTCCGGATTCAAGCGATTCTTCCTGCCCTCAGCCCTACGCGAGCAAACTGGGACTACAGGTCGTGCACCACCACGCCCAGCTAATTTTCCTTTTTTAGTAGAGACGGGGTTTCACCATGTTGGTCAGGCTGGTCTCAAACTCCTGACCTCAAGTGATCCACCTGCCTTGGCCTCCCAAAGTGCTGGGATTATAGGCAAAAGTCACTGCACCCAGTCTTTTTTTTCCTTTTTTAAATGAGACAGAATCTCCGTGTGTTATCCAGGCTGGAGTGCCATGGTGCACTCAGCTCACTGCAGCCTCCAACTCCTGGGCTCAAGCAGTCCTCCTGCCTTGACCTCCTGAGTAGCTGAGACTACAGGCATGCACCAACACGCCCAGCCAATTTATTTTTTGTAGAGAAGGATCTCACTACATTGCCCAGGCTGGTCTTGAACTCCGAGGCTCAAGCAATCCTCCCTTATTAGCCTCCCAAAGTGCTGGGATTATAAGCCCGAGCCACCGCATCGGCCTGAACGTGCAGATTTTCAAGCACCGTGGTTCCCATCGCCATGGGAAGCAGGGCCCCACCTTGCCGGGACCACGTGGGTTCTATGCAGCCCGAGCCTGTGCCCAGACCCCCATGCCCACCTCCAGACTCTAGCGTGGGTTTCACTCCTGGACTCCTGGAGTGAAGAGGGCAGTCCTGGTAGGTTCACACTGGGGTGGAATTCCCGCCTCTGGACTGCAGGGAAAGAAAGAAACATCAGATGCACAGACAATGGAGACGACCAGATCCCGTGGCCGTGGAAAGGGCCGTAGTGGGCAACTCTTGCAGGAGGCCAGAGGGTGAGCACGGAGGAGCCAGAGGGTGAGCACGG